CAGCCTTCTGGTTAGCAGTCAAGTGCCTTAGCCACTATGCTACCAGAGCTCCCATAGTGTCAGCTTATTTGTATGTTACCCTCTTTTGCTTCTGAACAAAAAGAATGTTTATATTAGGTTAGAATGTTTAAATTTACTTGTGTCTTTAGGTTGTTCCCCAGGAGAGCAGAGTAAAGTAGTGGCAGAATTGTTCTGGATGAGACCCAATCCCACACACATATTCTCTTCCTCCTGGGAGGTGGCTGGACATGAGTCCCTTCATTGTCAGTGACAGCATTCTATGTCCATTTCAGGAAAGCAGTATTGTCATTTTGTCAGGTTGACCTTGACTACCTGAAAACCCCTGATGGCATATAATTTTTTCATTTTTCCAATGATCATAATAGAAGTGAGCAGATGTTTTAACTTAAATATGTCTTCAACATGGTAACCTTTGAAGAAATATTAGCTTGGTAGTTTCTCTCAAGTACTGAAACTCACATGATAAATTTATGATTTGCACTTGTTGAGATGATCAGAGGAAAGGAATTAGGGTTCTGTATTTTATTTCTCAGTTGTTTTAGTCATTAAATTTTATAAAAGAGATGAAATAGTAATTTTATATATGAAGATTAAGTTATCTTCAAGGAGCTCTGGAAGCATAGTGCCTAAGGCACTTGACTGCTAGAAGGCTGGCTGTTCAAACCCACTAGCCACTCCTTGGAAGGAAGGTTGGGCAATCTACTTCCATAGTGATACCGCCTCGGAAACCCAAGGAGGGGTTGCTATGAGTCAGATCTGACTCGATGGCACATAATAACAACAACAACAATCCTAGGAGTAATGTGGGCCCAGAATAGTGCCCACCTCTTCTCTCCCCATTTTCAAAATAGGTTTCTAAAAGTCTCTTCCCAATGTTTCTACCATAAGATTTTTCTTTGATATAAATATCTGGATAAAATCAATACAGATGGGTTCAAATAAAGCAGTTGAGGAGATTCAGCAGATGTGGGTACACATGTAGTATATGTGTAGTAATACCTTATCCTGCATCATTGATACCTGAAGCATTTTATTTTAAATGAAATTTCTAGAACACTGAAGCTTACTATTTTATGTGCCAAGAATTTTAAATATAAATTTTCATGGACATATTTCAATATGACTAAATAAACTAAATTCATAGTCACCTTTATTAATCAGATTAATGACTCTGTGCCTCAGTTATTTTATACTTTTATCATAGAGGGATAGCATTGTGTTTGCCCCTAAATGTCCCAGAATTGTTTTATAGCTGATGAGCCTGTTGCTGCTTCTGTGTCCGTCCATCTTCAGTGTGTTACGACCATTATCTCCCAGTACTTCATTGATCTTATCATAAGCCTGAAATTAGACCACTACACTCTGGTATAAGGTCTTAAGGACTTCCAAAGGATTGCCTCTCCTAAGAGCCAAGAGTAGGGTAATTGGCTAGTTGAGGAGTTTGAGTAATGTCTTCAGTACAATCCAGTACCTAAGAGGTTGATGTACATTACCTAAGTGCTTTGAGAAATCTCATTCCTAATCTGTTTCAGTTGTTCTGTTCACTTATTAACTCAGTCCTGACACACCTGAAAAATGCTAATTTAAACTTCTGAACTGGCAAGTTTCAACAGTAACCAGATTGTTGACATACTGAAGTCTTAAATGTTGAGGAACTCCTGGGTATGGGATTTACTGTCTTCTCAAACTTTTTGTAAACCCATTTATCCTAATTAGATCAACCCTGCTAAGCTACAGATTTGCATCAAATGAATGCCAGTCCAAATGTGCCTAGACATGAAGCTGGAGCGGAGAACTCCCATAATTTATAAGGTTGTCCAATATGAAAATACCATAGCTATTTTTTTTTCAAAGCAGAGAAACTGAAGTCCACATATAAAACATACAAAAGCAGAGAAACTGAAGTCCATTTAAGAAATGAATAGGGGTGGGCTGTTAAGACATCCATCCACTTCACAGTACTGAAGGCTGAGTTTGCCTTATTTCACAATAAGATCAAGAAATAGATCTTAAAAGTTAACTTTTTTTTTTTTTGGTCACATTGTTAAGTATGGTTTTATGCTACACTAAAGAAAACATGTTGAAGGATTATGAACAATGTTTAGTTTGAATGTGAACTTGATGCCAAAAGTTCTATGTCTGAAATTTGCCCCAGTGCTACATGTGTGAGTGTACATATCTATGTGTTCTGCCGTTTAGGTAAGATTCTACCTTTATGGTACTGTTTTGTTTTCAATAAACTGTCATACCACCCTGATTCAGCCCTGACTCTTCTAGTCAGTGGATGGTCAGAAGGTTAAATGGCTTTTTAAAGCATTAAATTACTTGGCTGTGTAACTCTACCTTTAATCCATCACTGTAAATCTAAGCTCAGTACTCCATAAGCATTAACTTCCCTACTCTTTCCTCCCTCCTTCTTGCCCCCTGGAGTCCCTGGGCAAATATAAATGTGATTTAACCTTTCTAGGGCTTACCCAGGGAGCTCTGGTAGCATAGTGCCTAAGGCACTTGACTGCTAACCAGAAGGCTGCCGGTTCAAACCCACCAGCCATTCCTGGGAAGGAAGGTTTGGCAAACTACTTCTGTAGTGATACTGCCTCAGAAACCCAAGGAGGGGTCGCTATGAGTTGGGTCCTACTTGATGGCACATAACAAAAA